TTATTTTCTGAATGACTTTCTCCATTATTTACTGATCGATTTTTGCGTACAAGTATGTGGTAACTGTAACAAAACAAATATACTTGTTTGATTTTTTTTAGTACTGAACATTTAGTGAGATGCTTCTTAATTTCTTTTTATGCCCCGCCATGAATATGGCCGGTGCATATAGTGTTGTCATGTCCGTCTTCCGTCTTTCCGTCCTTTTGTCCTTCCGTCACACTTTGCGTTAAGCTCTGTTCAAAGCTCAGTTTCAAAGAAACTATCCAATATATCTTCATCAAACTTCATATGCTGATGGATATTGATGAGAGATATGCAACTGCATCAACATTTTTTGACCTTGACCTTTCCTTTGACCTTGACCACACTTTTCTTAAATTAGTGTTTTATAGCTCAGTTTTAAACATACCATTCTAGATGGTGTTATCAAACTTCACATGTTGATACATACTGATGAGAGCTATTTAACTGCATCACCATTTCGACCTTGACCTTTCCTTTGACCTTGACCTCTCTTATCTTTAATTAGATGTTTAGCTCAATTTTAAAGATACCATTCTAGATATTTTTATCAAACTTCATATGTTGATAGACATTGATGAGAGATATGCAACTGCATCATTCAACATTTTTGACTTTGACCTTTCCTTTGACCATTGACCTCAATTTTCCTAAATCAGTGCTAAACTTCATATGCTGACACATACTGATGTGTAAGCAATTCAACTGCATCAACCTTTTTTACCTTGATCTTTTATTTGACCTTGACCTCACTTTTATCAAATAGTGTATAAGTCAGTTTTAATTAAAAAAAACCATTCTAGATATTTTCATCAAACTTAATATTGATACATATTGATGAGAGATATGCAACTGCATCAACATTTTTGACCTTGATCTTTCCTTTGACCTTGACCTCAATTTTTTTTAAAAAAAACTGTGTCAATCTTCACATGCTGATACACACTGATGTGTAAGCAATTCAACTGTATTAACATTTTTGACCTTGACCTCACTTTTATCAAATTGTTTTTAAGTCAGTTTTGAAGAAACCATTTATAATATTTTTTCAACTTCCTATGCTGAAAGATACTGATGAGAGCTTTTCAACTGCATCAACAGTTTTTGACCTTGGCATTTCCTTTGACTTTAACCTCATTTTAATAAAATTAGTGTCAAACTTCATATGCTGATACATACTGATGTACGCAATTCAACTGCATCACTATTCAAGATATTCTGATCAAATTTCATACACAAATACAAAGAAAGAGGGCGTATAAGGCGTGGACAATCCCCCGCTCTGAGACAAAATATTTCTCAATTTTCAAAATTCACAGAAAAGTTTTATTTTTCTAAAATCAAGTTCTCAGTAATGTCATCTTCAAATCATTTAATCATTTTATTTTACTGAAGGACTTATTATTTGATAATCTGTATTTCAAAGTTGACAGTTAACCATGTTTAAATGACGGAAACGTAAATGTGAAATCTATTAATTTTCATTTGTCCAGGAAATGGAATCTGAACCCATTCTATATGAAAAAAGAAAAATTCTGAAAAAATGTTCGCTTCAACAAACCCGTTAAAGTTAACTTATTAGTCCATTATCATCATCATGACATCCAAACAGGTGATCTTCTTATAAAGCACTCTTTTGGACACTGACAAACGTCGATAATGCATATTACTTCGTAGCGTAGTGTTTAAAGCAGTCGGTCATAACCAAACGCTGCGCTATGGAGAGAGTTCGAATCATACTTGATGCCTTTTCTTTTTTGTTTTCACATATCTTAAAAACATGAGTGAAAAATAAATTATTAATACAATATTAAAACAATGAAATACAGAATTAAGACCGCAGAACATTAACTGGCAAAATTGGAAATATACAGCTTACGTCATTTCTATCTGTTACAATCAAAACATTCATGAAATGGGCGAATTGTACCCGCCCATTTCATTGTCTATCACTGAATATTTTGATTGTAATAGATAGAAATGACGTAAGCTGTATATTTCCAATTTTGCCAGTTAATGTTCCGCGGTCTTAAATGTGTAAAAGACAATATCATTTTGAAAAATATACCTTTTAAAACTGAGCAATGTCTTTTCTCAGAGCGGGGTATTGTCCTCGCCTTGTACGCATCCATTCTTTTCACGTTGCATTACTAATATACCCTCGGTGGGGCATTCATGTCCTATGGACATATTTCTAGTTTTTCATCTTTTCACACTTATGTCTTGTCGTCATTTTGTTAATGACAAAGATGACGCAAATGTAACGTCCTGGAACCCTTTGATGCTGCAACAGTTCTACGAAAAAATCGTGACATCTTGTGAATGAATAATTTAATTAAAATTGTTGGTATTGAATTTAAAACAGGTAGAAATTATCCAACAGTTAGTGTGTAGATAAGGCTCACAATGACACATATAGAAAGAACTTCCAAAACGATTGTGCTAATGAATATATCAAAACTACCAACATATGCTATCAAATTTCATGGTCTAATTTTTACTTTACTGTTTGGGTGTACAAACAATTTAGAACAATAATCAAAGGGATATTTAAAAAAAAAAAAGCATCGTTTTATAAATGTAAAACCCAGTTGTCTTCTTCATCATAAATATTGTACATTTTATTGCCAAAAATGAAGTAATTTTTCTGTTTTCAGGTTTCCAGTTCTGAAAATATCAGAAGAAAAGTTGAGGAGTATGAATATTCCTACAGAATGGGGCAGTGCAGTTCGGAGAAATTTCTTGAACTTGCACCCTGTCCCCCTCCGGGAAAAACCCACCTAATATGTGATATACCGGCAAATATCACGTGCCAAGAAAGGACGCATATATTACAAAACTGTATAATATATTTATCAGAAGAGGCAATAACCCAAACATTTAAAACGTGCAATCAATCTTTAAAAGTGCAATGTGTAGAATTCGTAAATTTGTGCAGAAATGTTTCAAAGTTCAAATGTGACGTTCTTCAGTTCATTAGATCGTCGACTACCACAGTTTCTCCTCATACTATCACGCCACCTATAGGAATAATCAACGGATCTGACACATCTATGAATAAATCTGACATCGCTGTTAATGGCGGAAGACCGGAAGGTCCAGTTGTCACTGCCGGAAGTAGAAACTGGTGGCCTTTGCTAGCTTTAATAGTGATACCCATTGTAGTTATTTTGGCATGCGTCGTCTACTGCCGTAGAAAAAGGTAATTTTGGTTAAAGAAAGTCTTAATTTGTTTTTTTTCCAGTGTAAATATTTCCCATGCTAATAAAAAAAGAAATAATGAAGCTTATTTTAAGCACAATAATTCAGAAAGATTTCCTTTTAACTCATAAATAAAATAAAGATCTTTTAAATTAAACATATTACAAAAAAATGCTATTTATATTTTCATTGCAACTGTAGAAAATTGTAGCAGTCATTTTACTTTTAAACCGCTGGACTGGAAACATTACGTATTTAACAAAACGTATGTAATGTGTCTAAAGGGAAAAAGTCGGTAATATATCGCCAAAGTACCATGTAAATGTTTTCTTTAGATATAATTATTGATTAGGAAGTCACTCGTGTGAGTTAGTTTGTGGTAAGGATAAAGGATATCCTTCATTCAGAACAACAACAATTAAGACTTACGTGAGCATTGTGGCCCATGAGCATCTTCTGACGTCATATCTTATAACATAAGTTGATGAATCTTGCCTCAGTACTTACTGTCAAATGTTTTTTATTCTTCTATCTGTGTAGATACCAGAAAGGTGCCCCTGTCCAATATCAAGAGGTGGAGACAAAAACACCGGAAGTAAAGAGTTTAAAAAACAACAGGATAAAGAAGAGAGACTCTTTTATCGGCCAAGGAGACAAGTTTGAAAAGGTTCCATATATTGATGCAATTATCGATGAAACAGACGATGGTAGCGATATAACTACTAAAGACGACCAAGAAATCATCGAAATGCATGACAACTAACGTCTCAAAACGTGCATTAAAGTATTATTTACATTTCATTTTATTTTCACAATAGATTTTTTACAAGTAATGGCATTCTAGGCAGCAAAGAATTTTTTTGTTTAAACTTGTGATGTAGTTTGGAGGAAAGGTTGGGTGCTTTACGTTAAAAAAACCAGACAAAAATACGCAGCAATTTTTATTTTTTAAAATATTTTTTTAGTTCTAAACTGACGGTGTCACTGTCAAATGCCAAAAGCATTTTGCTTGACATGTTTGTGATTTTAATACTATATTAAAATACGCAAGGATATATGAAAGTTAAAACATATTGTACGAGGGTCATTCAAAAAATACGTAGACAATGTTCCTCATCGTCATATTATTATTACAAGATTATAGATCAACACATTTTCGTAAATAAAAACATTTATCTTGTCGATGTGTGAAGTTTCACTCCATTTGATTATTGAACTCATGCTAGCCAATTTTTAAAGCAACATGTCTTGTTACCACGGAGCACAGTTAACCAACATTGTAACGTCAAAACAACGTCGAGAAAGTTTCTCAAATTTAGTCTGCTTTTTAATTTTATACACAGTTTGTAGTGTCTTCTCGATTCATAAAAACATATGTATCCATAACACTAAACACCTACTTTGCTAACAATTGTGCAAATTAATAGCTTGAACTAGATTATCATTGTTTTCAAATCCTTACGCCTACCGCGGAACTCTATTACTTCCGCAGCAGTGAAGCGCACGTCACGTTTAATGACGTTCCTAACTCTTTTGAGAAGATTTTCAACTATAACCTGTTTCTTTGCAGACCATCCATCGTTTGATTTAAACTTGCTACCACTTGAAAATTGTATTTTCCATTTTATACAAATACACTGTTTATTTTTCATAAATTTCTTGGTTCATACAGATTTTCTTAAGTTTGTTAAAGAAGTTTTCCGAATGGAAAACAACTGTTTATTGTTACTCGCTGCTCCATGACGTCCTCCAACGTCATGTTTTTTTGCCTTTTTTTAATCAAGTCCATGTGTATTTAGAAACTGATATCTTTTAAACGGAACGATATATTAGACTACCCGATAGCATCTTAAGTATTACAGCAAGACTGAATTTAAACATGTAAATTTTATTTTGTTTCAGCTCCATTTATTCGAGTTCTGGCTATAGATACTGTAAAGTGAAAATTAGTAAATTACTCAATTTTGACATTGCCCCGTGATCCCATTTTTGCTGTTCTAAATTCTTGATAATTTGTATAAATAGGAAGATATATTCCAATTTTTTAACTGAAATTATTCGAATTTGTTGTTAAAATATGTATACCAAACTTGGATATAATATGACGTTAAATAACAAAGTTAGGTCAAAAGTCTACGAATTTTTTGAATGACCCTCGTATAGAGTACTTTTTTTCAGAATAAAAGAGATGTCAATGTTTTTGTATTTTTTTTTTCTTTTTATTTTTTAAAAGTTTTGAAAAATCAGATCACTATGTAAATATTGAAAATAATACCAGCTTTCTTTTCCTCTCCTTTCCGGCTTTTGTCTTTTGCACTTATTATAGATTATTTCATTAACTCTTCGAGGCTATATAGATGAATTTTTTTTCTCTCCGACCTTTTATATATGTATGTAAATATTATTGAATTAAAATATTTCTTCCTTTGATAAATTAAAAGTTAAAAAATTATCAAGTTTGATTTGTTTATAGCAATATATTTCAATTGGTAAATACTAAACTGCATGTAATACATTCACAAACACATTTGCTTGTTTACAAACACTAAAGAATTTCGCTGAGCTACATGACCTATATCGAAGCTATATATTTGTATTAAAATATTGTATTATCCCCAACAAAATTCAATTTTTTGCCTAAATGTGTTGAATATTCTGTGATGAAGAAGGAAAAGTATATCTCGGATCGAGATCATCGCTAGCAGTTTTAATGTTATTATTGATTTTTTTTAATTAGATAATGAAAGATCAGGAACATTATAGCACCTGACCTCCTCCGTCAGTTTTTTTTTTATCAAACTGTATATAAATATATAAAATTTTAAAATAAACCTAGACTTCTGTTTGTTCTTTTATTTACGTCAAAGATTCTGTTTCTTCAGTCAGGGGTAACCCAAAAAGGCCAAAACTGAACAGAGTAAAAGATTGTCAGAGGGGGCGCAACCCCAATTCAAAACTGATTTACTATCATTAAAATTAATGTGAATTGGTCCAAATGTACAGTATATTTTATTGGCAAAAGTATTTGGACACCCCCCCCCACCACCACCACTTCCAAAACCCGCCCCCTGACGGGTTTCTGTGGGGCTTTACACAATCCTATATTTGCTTTTATTTCATAATAAATAAAAACTTTTTCTACAGAAATCAGCCTAATATTATACTCATGGATTCATATACATGTATTCAAATAGTTAACCTGAATATATGTAATCTTTACAAAGAGGAGTAAGAGTGCTTATGGGGAAAATTATTAGAAGACAACACGAAGTCACGTATCTGATCACCAAAGAAAACTATAATTTGGGAATTCATTATTTATGCCTATGGCATTTTTATTCAAAAGCAGTCAAAATATATTATCAAATTTTTGTTTGTGTTATATGTACATGTATCCTTAATGTAGGTCAATTAATTTAATTAAGGTTATTAACAGAATATATGTCCTCGAAAATCTTGAAAAAGGAAAAAAAAATCTCTAACTGTCGGGGGGGGGGGGATAATTTTCATTGATCATCTTGAAGGTGAATAATATGTCTTTACCGGATATAAAAGAAAGAAAAACCTCTGACCCCATGAAAAAAATGCGAGTCTCCCTAGCCCTCAAAATGATACTATACGTATTTCACTCAGTTATTATTCAACAGTGATAAATATACATTAGGTCTATATTTAGTTAACATTCGTTTTCACAATGGAGGCTATATTAAAAGACCACGCAATGTACTGTTCTTGTACTGTTCTACATAATGCTGACTCAAACCTTCTTTGTGTTTTTTGTATTGAGATTTATCCGTGCGTAAAAGGACATTTTTAATTAAAATTCATATACATTACATGTTTTGGGAAAAAAAACTGTAAACAATATGCATTCTTATGTTATTTATTCATTTTTAGAAATACTTCGCACCTTTACATGACAACAGTCATCACATATATTTCTGATGTCATAACAGAACAACACGTGTTAATTTATTTTAAGGCATGACAGGTCATGTGCTAGAACATTCTAAACCAATAATACAACGAATTGAGATCACATGATCATACCGTATAAATACCGGATGCCCGGATGCCAGACAGAACGTAACGAAGGAAGATTTAGTGAGAAGACGCCTTGTTATTTTATTGCGCACATTTTAACTAACAACAAAGGTAAGGAAAAGTTTTAAGTCTGGTAAATTCCTTATAAAATGTTTGGTATCATTTAAAAAGTTTTTCTTGTCCATTTTGATTGTAAAGAATATTGTGAAAGTAAACAATTTCCTGATTTTCATTCATAGTCGCCATCTTGGAAACAAAGGAGTTGACACTTTTATAAGTATCGTGAACACAGTTTTATCATTTTCAGAGAAATTTTAACTAAATTTATTTGAAATCTTTTAATTTTATTGATTTGTGAATGACTACGTGGACCTTGTTATTAATTTTTAAGGATAGAAAAGGGGCTAAATGGCTTGGGTCTATGTGAAAAACGTAGAAAATAGAATTTTCTTTAAAAAAAATTTATGAACGCTAAAAAAAGTAAACCTTTGTTGACCTTTTATTATCTATAGCGTTTAAATAGTGATTTATTACATTTTCAGAACAATGCAGATCTTTGTGAAAACCCTGACTGGAAAAACCATAACACTTGAGGTCGAGCCATCTGACACTATTGAAAATGTCAAGGCCAAAATTCAGGACAAAGAGGGAATTCCCCCAGACCAGCAGAGATTGATCTTCGCTGGGAAGCAGTTAGAAGATGGTCGCACACTGTCCGACTACAATATCCAGAAGGAATCCACACTTCACTTGGTTCTGCGTTTGAGAGGAGGAATGCAGATCTTCGTCAAGACCCTCACAGGAAAAACCATTACTCTTGAGGTGGAACCATCCGACACAATTGAAAATGTCAAAGCTAAAATCCAGGATAAGGAGGGAATTCCCCCAGACCAACAGAGATTGATCTTTGCCGGTAAACAGTTGGAAGATGGCCGTACACTCTCTGACTACAATATTCAGAAGGAATCCACACTCCACTTGGTTCTGCGTTTAAGAGGAGGAATGCAAATTTTCGTCAAGACCCTCACAGGAAAAACCATTACATTGGAAGTAGAACCCTCTGACACTATTGAAAATGTCAAAGCCAAAATTCAGGACAAAGAAGGAATTCCCCCAGACCAACAGAGATTGATCTTCGCAGGAAAACAGCTGGAAGATGGCCGCACACTTTCTGACTACAATATCCAGAAAGAATCAACTCTCCATCTAGTACTTCGTCTTAGAGGAGGAATGCAAATCTTCGTCAAGACTCTAACTGGGAAAACCATTACATTGGAAGTAGAACCCTCTGACACTATTGAAAATGTGAAGGCCAAAATTCAGGACAAAGAAGGAATTCCCCCAGACCAGCAGAGATTGATCTTTGCTGGAAAACAGCTGGAAGATGGCCGCACACTTTCCGACTACAATATCCAGAAAGAATCGACTCTCCATCTAGTACTTCGTCTTAGAGGAGGAATGCAGATCTTTGTCAAGACTCTCACAGGAAAAACCATTACACTAGAGGTGGAACCCTCTGACACTATCGAGAATGTCAAAGCTAAAATCCAAGACAAAGAAGGAATTCCCCCAGACCAACAGAGATTGATCTTTGCCGGAAAACAGCTGGAAGATGGCCGTACACTCTCTGACTACAATATTCAGAAGGAATCCACACTTCACTTGGTTCTGCGTTTAAGAGGAGGAATGCAAATCTTTGTCAAGACTCTAACTGGGAAAACCATTACATTAGAAGTAGAACCCTCTGACACTATTGAAAATGTCAAGGCCAAAATTCAGGACAAAGAAGGAATCCCCCCAGACCAACAGAGATTGATCTTTGCCGGTAAACAGCTGGAAGATGGCCGCACGCTGTCCGATTACAATATCCAGAAGGAATCCACACTTCACTTGGTTCTGCGTCTGAGAGGAGGATTTTGAACTTGGAGTATTTTAACTTGTAACATATTAAGTAATATTTATAAAAAGACTTGAGAAATGTTTTTATCAATGTTTAATGCCATCTGAAAATTATGCCTATTAAAAGTTTACAACATAAAACTGTGTTTTCATTAGAGGTGCATGTAAAAAATGGGTTTAAAATAAGATTATAGGGAAAAAAACATAAATTTGCAAAATTATATTAATATGATTTCAAATTAATGACTGATAAATAAGAGGTATTCAGAAGAGGAACAAGCAAATTTTCAAAGAATTGTGGTCCCCCTTCTTTTGGTATCTTTTCGGTGAGATGTCATTTTTATCTCAACTGAGCTGAAGGCTCAAGTGAGCTTTTCTGATCACATTTTGTCTGACATCCTTCTGTCTGTCTAGCTGTCCGTCTGTTAACTTTTCACATTTTCGACTTCTTCTAAAGAACATTAGGTGAATTTCAACCAAACTTGCCACAAAACATCCTTGGGTGAAGGGGATTCCAGTTCGTTCAAATGAAGGGCCAGGCATTCATTCAAGGAGAGATGATTGGGAATTTGGAAAAAATGTGGTGGAATGAGGCCATTCCAAGCTTGCTCTATCAGACTATGTTTAGCATCCGGGTGCGCCTTGGTTTTTGACATCCCATATAAGAAAAAACACACAACATAGGAGTCCTGAAATTGATTAATTTAGTCGAAATTTTTGAATTTTGTCAATTTCTCCAAATAATTCTGTACAGTAAGTTATATTGGGTTATTTTAAGCATTTAATCCCTTGTTAGCTCTACTGGTCAGAGACCAGAAGAGCTTATGCGATAGTAATGCGTCCGTCGTCCGTCCGTCTGTCTAGCTGTCTGTCTGTCCGTCTGTAAACAATTTTTCAAAACGCTACTCCTCCTACAGTTTTGGTCTGATTTCAATGTAACTTGGCACACAAGTAGACTACAGTAGGATACATAGTTCTGTGTATCGGTTTTTGATTTCGATGAACGGTGTTGCCATGGTTACTAAAAATAAAATTTTTTGTGAAAATCATTCAAAATGCTACTTCTCCTACAGTTTAAATCTGATTTCAATATAATTTGGCACATAAGTAGACTACACTAAGATACATAATTCTGTGTATCGGTTTTTGATTTCGATGAACGGTGTTGCCGTGGTTACTAAAATTAGAAATTTTTTGAAATACATTCAAAATACAACTCCTCCTAATACAGTTTTGGTCTGATTTCAATATAACTTGGCACACAAGTAGACTACACTAAGATACATAATTCTGTGTATCGGTTTTTGATTTCGATGAACGGTGTTGCCATGGTTACTAAAAATAGAAATTTTTTGAAATACATTCAAAATACAAGTCCTCCTACAGTTTTGGTCTGATTTCAATATAACTTGGCACACAAGTAGACTACACTAAGATACATGATTCTATGTATCGGTTTTTGATTTCGATGAACGGTGTTGCCATGGTTACTAAAAATAGAAATTCTTTTAAAAACATTCAAAATGCTACTTCTCCTACAGTTTTAGTTTGATTTCAATATAACTTGGCACACAAGTAGACTACACTAAGATACATGATTCTGTATACATGTATTGGTATTTGATTTCGATGAACAGTGTTGCCATGGTTACTAAAAATAGAAATTTTTGTGAAAATCATTCAAAATGCTACTTCTCCTACAGTTTGAGTCTGATTTCAATATTACTTGGCAAACAAGTAGACTACACTAAGATACATAATTCTGTATATTGGTTTTTGATTTCGATGAATGGTGTTTCCGTGGTAACTAAAAATGGAAATTTTTTGAAATACATTCAAAATCCTACAGTTTTGGTCTGATTTTAATATAACTTGGCACACAAGCAGACTACACTGAGATACATAATTATCAGTTTTGTGTTTTTGATTTTGATGATTTATGTTGCCATAGTAATTTAAATTGAAAATTCTGTAAAATTTTATTTAAAGCTACTCCTACAGTTGTAGTCCTTTTGCAATCTTGCCTCAAAAAGAGATTTAATCAAGGATCATTATTCTATATATTGCTTTTGTAAAGTTTTAAGTCTTAACTGCTACTTTACTCTTTCTTTATTATAAGTACAAACCAGTAGAGCTACAGTCTCGACAGAGACTTCTGGTTTTTGCTTAAGAATAAATATTTCTTTTATTATTTAAAGCAGTTTAGTTAGATCAAATCATTTGAAGGGCATCATTTTTATGACTTTTTAAGCCTGTGTTTTATGTTTTGGTTTGTGTGTGTGTGTTTTGCGAATAGGTAGGTAGGTTTTTGAAAGATGGGTGGACGCTAAACAGAAAAAAAACTTCGAATGGCCTGATTTAAAAAAAATCTTCTCAAGAACCACTGTACTAGGAAAGATGAAACTTATGGGGAAACATCCTCAGGTAGTGTAGATTCAAGTTTGTTCAAATCATGACCCCTGGGGGTAGGGCGGGGCCAAAAAAGCCGACCAAAGTTTTACATAGAAATATATAGGAAAATTCTTTAAAAATCATCTTCTCAAGAATAGAAAAGCTATAATTGATCATATTTATATGGAAGCATCCTCAGATAGTGTAGATTCAAGTTTGTTCAAATCATGACCCTCGGGGTCAGGGCGGGACCACAATAGCCGACAACAAATTTACATAGAAATATGTAGGAAAATTCTGTAAAGATCTTCATCTCAATAATAGCTATAGCAAAGGTATAATTGATCATATTTATATGGAAGCATTCTCAAGTAGTGAAGATTCAAGTTTGTTCAAATCATGACCCCCCGTGGGTAGGGCGGGGTCAAAATGGCCGAAGTTTTACAAACTGATAGAAATATATAAGAAATTCTTTAAAAGTCTAGCTTCTTCTTAAGAATAGCAAAGCCATAATTCATCATATTTATATGGAAGCATCCTCAGGTCCTGTAGATTCAAGTTTGTTCCAATCATGACCTCCGGGGGTAGGGCGGGGTCAAAATGGCCGATCAAAGTTTTACATAGAAATATATAGGAAAACCTTTTAAAAATCTTCTTCTCAAGAATTGCAAAGCCATAATTGCTCATATTATAATATGGAAGCATCCTCAGGTTGTGTAGATTCAACTTTGTTCAAATCATGACCCCGGGGGTAGGGCGGGGCCACAATGGCGGATCAAAGTTTTACATAGATATATATACATGTAGGAAAATTCTTTAAAAATCATCTTCTCAAGAATAGCAAAACCATGATGGTCATGGGACTACTTTTGGATTTAAACTTTTCAATAATAAACCAATTTCTACTTTTTCCTAGCCACAATGCTCAGGTGAGCGATGTGGCCCATGGGCCTCTTGTTAGAACATTGTGTCAAATATGAAGCCATACATTATTAGCTCACCTGAGCCGAAGGCTCAAGTGAGCTTTTCTGATCAAAATTTGTCCGTTGTCTGTCGTCGTTGTCGTTGTTGTCGTTGTTGTCGTCGTAAACTTTTCACATTTTTATCTTCTTCTCGAGAACCACTGGGCCAATTTCAACCAAACTTGGCACAAAGTATCCTTGGGTGAAGGGGATTCAAGTTTGTTCAAATGAAGGGCCACGCCCTTTTCCAAGGGGAGATAATCATGAATTTGTTAAAAATTAATGGCATTTTTAAAAAATCTTCTTCTCCAGAACCGCTGGACCAGGAAAGATGAAACTCATGTGGAAGCATCCTCAGGTAGTGTAGATTCAAGTTTGTTCAAATCATGACCCCCGGGGCAAGGGTGGGGCCAAAATGGCCGACCCAAGTTTTACATAGGAATATATAGGAAAAATCTTTAAAAATCTTCTTCTCCAGAACCACTGGGCTAGGAAAGATGAAACTCAAGTGGAAGCATCCTCAGGTAGTGTAGATTCAAGTTTGTACAAATCATGACCCCCGGGGCAAGGGTGGGGCCAAAATGGCCGACCCAAGTTTTACATAGGAATATATAGGAAAAATCTTTAAAAATCTTCTTCTCCAGAACCACTGGGCCAGGAAAGATGAAACTCAAGTGGAAGCATCCTCAGGCAGTGTAGATTCAAGTTTGTCCAAATCATAACCCCTGGGGCAAGGATGGGGCCAAAATGGCCGACCCAAGTTTTACATAGGAATATATAAGAAAAATCTTTAAAAATCTTCTTCTCAAGAACCACTAGGACAGGAAAGATGAAACTCATGTGAAATCATCCTCAGGTAGTGTAGATTCAAGTTTGTTCAAATCATGTCCCCTGGGGCAAGGGTGGGGCCAAAATGGCCGACCCAAGTTTTTCATAGGAATATATAAGAAAAATCTTTAAAAATCTTCTCCTCCAGGACTACTGGGCCAGGAAAGATGAAACTCATGTGGAAGCATCCTCAGGTGGTGTAGATTCAAGTTTGTTCAAATCATGACCCCCGGGGCAAGGATGGGGCCAAAATGGCCAGCCCTAGTTTTACATAGGAATATATAAGAAAAATCTTTAAAAATCCTTCTCAATTACCACTGGGCCAGGAAAGATGAAACTCAAGTGGAATCATCCTCAGGTAGTGTAGATTCAAGTTTTTTCAAATCATGACCCCCGGCCCTGGGGATAGGGTGGGGCCAAAATGGCCGACCCAAGTTTTTACATAGAGATATATAGGGAAACCTTTTAAAATCTTCTTTTCAAGTACTTCAAAGCTATGATTAGTGATACCCGGGGTATTTTTATGGAATCATCCTCAGGTAGTGTAGATTCTAGTTTGTTCAAATGATGAACGCCTGGAAGGGGGGGGAGTAAATTCAAGCCCGATGTGCTCAGGTGAGCGCTGTCGCCCCTGGGCCTCTTGTTTAAAGATTATTTATGCGCCCGGATTGATAAATCCGGAGCGTGTATTGTTTTTGTCCTGTCTGTCTGTTTGTTTGTTTGTTTGTCTGCAAACTTTAACCTTCGCCATAACTTTTGAACCATGAAAGATAGAGACTTCATATTTGGTATGCACACTCCACTAATTAAGCTCTTTAAAATGACACCAAGTCATTGACCTTGTGACCTTGACTGTGACCTATTGCTAAAAATAGCTTTTTATCTTCAAACTTTAACCTTCGTCATAACTTTTGAACCATGAAAGATAGAGACTTCGTATTTGGTATGCATCCTCCACTAATTAAATTCTTTGATACGACACCAGGGCCAGTGACCTTGTGACCTTGACTGTGACCTGTATGCTTAAAATAATTAAACACTGAAGCCCCTGCATATATGACAACATAGCTAAGATTAATTTTTCCTAAATGCAAATTAAATACATTGGTACTCAAAGTAGCGTCTTCTCACAAGAAATTCGATTGTGAAATATGAAAGCCCTAGCACCATCTGTTCAAAAGTTATGACCAAGGATAAGTTTTTGAAGGGTACATGTACGTCAAATTTAAAGGTCGAAGATGTTGGTTTCTTAAGAAAGGTCTTGTCACAAGTATTACATATGTGAAGTATGAAAGCCCTAACCCTAACGTTTGTTTATTAAAAGAAGGTCAAACTTCAAGGTTTTATGACAGGTGCTAAGGCTTTCAAACTTCATATATGTAATACTTGTGAGAACTTTTATCGGATACCAAGAACTTTGACCCTTTGACATAGAACGGTTAAGGCTAGGGCATTCAGACTTCACATATGTAATACTTATTACAAGACCTTTCTTAAGAAACCAGCAACTTTGACCTTGGAGTTTGACATACCTTTCAAACATTTATCCTTGGCCATAACTTTTGAACAGGTGGTGCTAGGGCTTTCATATTTCACAATCATATTTCTCGTGAGAAAACCCTACTTTGGGTACCAATATATATAATTTGCATTTAAGAAAAGATTAATCTTGGCTATATGTTGCTATACGGGGTCATCAGTGTTTCACAAACACATTTTATTCCTAAAACTTTTGATTGAGAGGAGATAATGCTGTCATATTTGACATGTGCATTTACCAGCGGGACAAGCTATTTCCGAGCATGCTATGATTTCGGATCCTTTCATCTTGACCTTCAAGATTTACCTTATTTTTTAAACAAGACGTCTTTGTGTACATCTGTGAAATATGAAAGACAGAGCCCCCCATTCAATAGTTATGGGTTAGGTTAAGGTTGACAACAGACAGACAGAGTGACAAACAGACAGGACGAAAACAATACACCCCTGGGAATTTTCGATTGAGGCATGATCTGGGGGCATAAAAATCTGCGTTTTTACCGTTTCGACATTTTTCAGCTAGCCATATTGTATTTTCGATGTAATTACTTACACCTGGCCTGAACAGGGTGTAGATGTTGTACACCTAAAGTCACAGGCACCTGACGTTACTTATTTTTCTTTTAATAAAAATATATACCCTTACCTTATAATAAAGGTAAGGGTATATATTTTTATTAGAAGAAAAATAAGTAACGTCAGGTGCCTGTGTCTAAAGTGTATACTTTTGCACTCGATTATGGAAAACTGTACACCGGGTGTAAATTTAGTGTATACATATGAAGAGCGCACAAACATTTTTTCGACATATTAAAAAGTAAAATGGAAAAAGTAGCCGCAATATTAATAAGACACGGAAAGCGTTTATATTAAATATAATGGGGACTATTTGGGGGAGGGTAAACCAGGGTAATATTTACTTTGAGATATACAGTAATTTTGCATAAATTAAGCTTATTTTCGGGGGTCAAAATTGAGTAACATCAGTTACAAAATACATGTGTAGCGTTAAACAGCATGTTTAGTGTTTAATGGTTTTTGATGGATTTACTTTCCCAACATTAGCTCAGTGTTATAAACATTTATTTTTCTTTTTAAACAAATTATATCCCAGACCCTAATCTATAACAACATATAAACTAACATCACTAGAAAAAAGGCAGCTGCCAGTGTGTTAATCATAACTATAATCATACGTTACTTAGATCTATATCTAAAAAAAAGTGCATCCATTTGTTCATATAAAGTAATATTTTGTTTTAAAAAGTTGAACACAAAGCTGGTTCCATTCCCTTGCATTTCAGCATTGCTTCACTCACAGTTTCTTGGATGGTTCTCACCTCGCACATTGAATGGAGCGCATTCGGCAAATGGAGCTTTGCGGAATCAGCCGAGGATTGCCGATTGGCATTAGACGTCATAATGAAATACGTCACAATCACGGTGGCGTCTTTGTATTGTGACGTCACAATAACTTATACCTTCACAACGGAGGCAAAACATTGAAGTCATGAGCAGTGAAACCATTATGGTAATCTAGAAATTTTGGTTATTTCATTAGCACTTGATTTAAATTATGTCTACAATTAACAATTACATGTTAATTATTGAATTGCTTATTTTCTCCTGATTCACAGGAACCTAAGTACAAGAAGAGTAAGGAATATTTTGGAAGTTTGGGAGATTCAGAAAGTGATTGGGTAGACAATACCATGTCAGAATTCAAAGACGGTACAGAATACCTAGAATGGTTGGAGCGACAGCTTCCATACCTAGAGGTATAGGAAAATAAAATGTATACTTCATTGTGCCTATATAAAACGAACCTTAAATGTTACATTTTAAAATGACTGAGTGATGTTGATGCGTTTTAATTTTGAAATTGTAATTATATATAAAATGTCGTTTTTAAAGGAATTTGAAGCCAGTGATGCAGTTCATTACTACTTTTTTCGGAGCTGGAGCAAACATACATTATACTTTCCCGAGATGGAACCTTTAATTGCAAGTTTTTTCTCATCATTTTACAATTTATTAGATGCCTATATTTCTTAATACAAACCATAGATCTAGTGAACAAATCTACACTAACACCATAGAAAAATATATCATATACTGACACGCAAAAGAAACGCAACACCCTACTTTAGGGGGAAATAATTTTGTAAAGTAAAGAATTTTGTATCTTAAAATTATGAATATCTTCAATTTGGTAAACATCGGTAATTCTACGATTGAACGATTTCCATACCATAACCGGAAGTGAAGTTTGAGTCTGCTTCACCGAAATCAAAAATTGCATGTTTAGCAAAATATTTGGCAATACTATAGAGTTTTAAGGGTTTTTTACTGTTCATCATAAGTAATGCAGCAATATTTCAAAAAATAAACTCTCCTTTCTTTTCCCGTAACGATGCTAGGGCTACTTGAAAATGGCTAATGTACGCATTTCCATTGCTCTAGCTGAAAAATTTCAATGTTAAGGTGATGGAGAGTTGCAGATGCAAAATTTCACTACATTACGCCTGAAATGGGTCTTACGTATCATATGCATTAAGGAAAGGCCTTGTACCGGAAGTCCAAGGGTGGCTACACTGCTCTAAGTTAGAGAAAAATCGACCTAATCATCTGAAAAACGGGCATTTAAAATTGCCAAAGAATAATTCCTTCGCTCAGATCTCGATAGTTATGAACCTACTGTATCGTAGAAATTAAGCTGCAATTGTTGTTTAGGGCAGTCTTGCACGTTTTACTTGAATGGCTGGGAGGGGGGTGTTTTAACAGTCATATTTTACGTAGTAAAGTAAACAAATAGATATTTAACATTTTTATCAAATATCTGATGTTCTGAAAAGTGAGTTTAATCTTACTTTATTCGCCTATGAAAATCATAAGATAAAAAAATCAAAAATCTGTAGGTAACTGCTTGTTTGCGTTTCTTTTGCGTGTCAGTATATTTTTAGGCATAATAAAAACAAATCTCTCGTTTATTTTAAAGGAAAAAGAAATTGATGGGGAAGATTGTGAAAGTTTGACAGATGACTATGCTGATGGAGCAGTGAAGAAAACTGAAAAGGTGTGGGAAAATGGAACAAAGCCAGAATTCAAAGATGGGAAGCAACTCGTGGAATGGCTCGAAAGAAAATTGCCATATCTGGAGGTACTTAAATTTACAAAAAAAAAAACCCACATATATAAGGTGACATTATGATTAATCATGGCCACATTTTTACTTGTATTTTATTTTCAGCCATTTGCTCCCGAAGACGCTGTGCATTATTATTTCAACAGACAGTGGAGTCGACAAAAATCTGAACTTAAACTAGAAGTATTAGTTGTAAGTGTATATACATATCTGGGTTTTTTTTAGCTTCTCTTGAATATTAGAATAAATTTTGAGATTTACTTCAAGAAGTTTAATGTTCGTGTAATTACACAATTTTGTCGTTTTTATTCAAGGAAGGAGACAGTGAGAACGAGAATGAAACTACTGACCACTGCAATCATGGAGATGACAAAAGCTTGGAAGTGAGTCCGCATACGTGTATATACTAGTATTTGAATTTCGTTTTTTCTATAATTTATGAATTAACAATGTATATAAAAATCA